AATTATTTTATTTTTAAAACGTACGGACTTAAACAAATTTATATAACACCCCCTTGACGTTTATTGAATTAAAAATAATCCTTCTTTTATTAACTAAGATATCGAATAAAAACTAAAATCATTATCAACAAGTTCAGTGATTAACTTTTAGTTCCTGGCAATCAACTTTACAGAAAGGAGCGAGCTGTGCTACGCTGTTTGGTTACCGAGAATAAGAAGAATAAGATCCAGCTTGCTTCCACTCTCCTGAACAAAGGTGAGGAAAGACAGGAAACAAACATGACTTAAATCCAGTAAATTAGAACAAGAAAATGCATTTTCTGTGTAACCAAACAGAGTTTATAGAATTAGAAGAGAAAAAAACGTAATACCGGATTGAGTTTCCAGAGAGATAATGTGTTTTGTTGAAAAGGAGCTTAGACGACCATCAGCGAACCAACACCTAAAATAACAAAGAAACGAACACGAACACAACGTTAGTTGCTATTATCAAGCGGTGAATTCGGTTTTAGCAGCTACACGAAAACAAGAGAGATTTATTTACCTGAAAAATGAATTCTCTCATAAATCGGATCTTTATTTATTTTTATTTTGTTCTGTTGTTGTTGTTGCTGCTGCTGCTGCTGTACAAGAAGAGTAAATACAATTCTGTTGAAGGATTTCAAGGAGGTATTGCAAGAAATGAAATCGAAGTGAACAGCAGAGAGTGTCGGGGAGAGGAGGGGCTTCTATTCTGTTCCAATCATTCATTCATGAGTAAGCGGGTGAGAGGGAGGGAGAGGAGTAGCTTTTATGAGGATTTGATTGCTGTTTGTTTGGCTGTCTGTATGGCGGCGTCCTTTTTAGCTTTTCTTCGTCAGCTTCCGTTCTTAAGAATATTAAAATATTTTTTGGGGACCTCTATGCAAAGTGCAGGAAAGTTTGGTGGCTCTTTTCACAGTTCATAAAAGACACCCTGCTTCTGTGGCTGAGAGCGGGACGCCACAGCCACCTGCCTACATTTACTGTTTACCCTTCAATCTTAACTAATTCTTTCGGACCCCATGGGTTGCTGTCACCATAATCATCATTTAATGAACTCTTCCATGGATATGTACTGGGAGTTTTTTATTTTTATCTTAACATTCAAGATATATTTGCTGCTGATATTTAGGCAATGAGATAAGAATATTTCTCAATTGGTTTTAGTGCATGTTTATTTTGCCTAAAATAACTTATGGATGGAAAATATTTTAAATGTAAAGTATTTTTCAATAATAATTATTGTGGGATGATAATGGTAATACCACAATGATGATAATGATGAAAGATATTGTCATTGAGGTGGTGATGACATAAGAAATAGTGGTGGTGACTGGTGAAATAGAATTCTTATAATGATACTTCTAAAATAATTAAAATTTACAACTTGCTTCCTATGCGAAGATTGGTAAAGATTTATTCTTTATTTTTTTATTTTTAAATTTTTTAAATATATTAATATTAAAAATAAATTTTAAAAAATAAAAAAATATTATAGTAATATATTTATAATTAAAAAATATTTTTTAAATAAATCACGTATTCTCGTGATCATTCAAGGACAGGTTGGTGTACCGTGGGCCTCTTTTATTGAGGTAGAGGCCCCACAGTCTATCACATGGCATGCGCATGCCATCTCCAGGTGTGCCTGCTTCACCACATAAAATAGATATATAAAAGGTAGAAAATTAGAAGAGGCCTCCTGGTGCCAGCTGTCCTCGCCTTGAAGTTGGAGGGCGGGCAAAAGCAAGGCCCATCGTTCATTCGGGTAAAGCCATCGCTACCTTTCTTCTCATGGTTTCTGTGACTGGGCTAAACATCTGATTACGTGGTCGTCTGTGACTGGGCTAAACATCTGATTACGTCAATCTATTTTTTAAAGTTTTTTATTATAAAAATAGTTTTTAATACTTTTAATATACTAATTAAAAAATTAAATTTTAATACATTTTTATATAAAAAATTATAAAATTATATAAAAAAACCAAGAGATAATTACCACATCTTAAAAAAAAAAACCCAAATAACCAAGAGAAAAACAAAAATCGACATCCACAAAAAACTCACTTTTCCGATCGAAATGATAAGAATTAAAAAAAAAAAAATTGCGGGAGTCAGATCGATCTGAAAGAAACGAAGAAATTCTCCACTAGGAAGAGTAAGTTAACGCATGGAACCAATGGTTCATCTGAATCGGGGTTGGGTAATCCAGATCTTGGACGATTTTTGCTAAAGCAAGCAAGAGATTTGGTTTCTTTGGGAGATAATCCCTAGGAATCTGTTGAATTAGCCAGATCATGGTTCGCTTCTACGGGACGGACAACTCACACCTTGTAAAGATTATCACGGGAACTGCTTTTTTTATTTTACACAAAATCTGATGTAAATGGAAACCTTGCTTCTACTTGTGTAATCCTTTATGTTCTCATCATCCCACCTCAGTTGATTTCCTTTCCAACCCAATTGCAAGCAACTGAAGATATGATAAGTACCGGATATGGGTAAGGTATCATCTATCACTGGAATCTTTATTTACTTGAACAATATATGTGTTGGATTTTGACATAATGAAATGTAAAGGCTAACAATTATCACACTTATTCTGAAAACTTCACCATTTTATTAATCATAAAAATTCTTATTTTAACAATAAACAAAAGCTGAAATGCAAATAATAAGCAAATTAATTTGCTATTGTCACATAATAGAATTTAAAGGAAGATAATGAATAAATAAAGAAGATTATGTGAATTCTAACATAATTTAATAAATTCAAAACAACAAGTGTTTTATTAAATATAAAACTCATATCAGCTTCCACCTCAATCAATAGGCTCTATGTTAGCAGCTTCTGAGGCATCAGTCCAATACTTCTCTTTGGCTCTGAAGTTGCAGACTGCAAGTTTTTATCTAAAGAATTCATACCTAGCTTGAGAAAGTGGTTTGGTCAAAATATCAGCATTTTAATTTTTTATTTTGCAGTAGATCATATGTATTTCACCTCTCTTTGAACTTCTTTAAGGAAATAGAGTTTCAGTTTAAAGTATTTCATTTTGCCATGAAACACAGGATTTTTTGCAATTGAAATTGCAGTTTGATTGTCTATAAGTATCCGTATGCTTTTCTTTTGCTTCATCTGCAGATCAACCATCAATTTTCTAATCCAAATGGCCTGATTCACAGCAGTAGTAACAACAATATAATCTGTTTCTGCTATGGATTGAGCTTTGACTTCTTACTTCTTAGAGCTTCATGAAAAAATAGCAGGATTAAAGCAAAAACAATAACCTGAAGTGCTCTTCATGTCATCAACACAGCTAGCCCAATCACTGTCAGAATAACCATGGAATATGGATTTTTTAAATTGACAAAACTTCAATCCATAGTCAATTGTTCCCTTGATGTATCTGGTAATTCTCTTTGTTGCTTGAAAATGAATTTCACTTGCACAATGCATATACCTTGAAAGTATACTTGTAGCATTCATAATGTTGGGTCTTATTGTAGTAAGATACATTAAGCATCCTATTAAGGTTTTGTAGAGTGTTTATTCAATCTTTGCAGCTTATCTTTTTTGCAAAATTTCTCCCTTTGAGTCATTGGTGTTGTTGTTGGTCTGCATTTTTCCATGTTGAACTTCTTTAAAATCTCTTTGGCATATAAAGATTTCATTTTGCTTTTGTTTAACTTCCATGCCGAGAAAAAATGTTATGTTTCCTAAGCTAGTCATCTAAAAAACATCCTTCATTTCTCTTTTGAACACATCAATCTACTTCATGTTACTTCCTGTCACAAGTAAGTCATTTACATAAAGAGAAACCACAAGTAATTCATCAGTGACTTTTCTAAGATAGACTCTAAATTCACTTAGTCTTTTTATAAGGTCCAAGTCTAACAAATGTGCATTAATCCTGTTATACCAAGCTTTTAGTGCTTGCTTTAAACCATATAGAGTCTTTTTCAGTAGATATACTTTCTTTTCTTCTCCTTGAATGACAAAACCTTCAGGCTGCTCCACAAACATTTCCACTTCCAAATATCCATTAAAAAAAACATATTTGACATCCATTTGATGTATAATCCAGCCAATTTGAGCAACAAGAGCAAAAAACATTTTTATAGTATCAAGCATAACAATCGCAGAAAAAGTTTCAGTGAAATCTACCCGAAACATCTGAGCATATCCTTTGATAATAAGCCTTACTTTGTGTTTGTTTATAGAATCGTTAGCATTGAACATGGTTCTATAAACCCATTTGACTCCTATAACCTTTTTATATGCAGGTCTGTTCACTAACATCCAAGTCTGATTTTTCTTAATCATTATAAGCTCCTCCTTCATTGTAGCCATCTAATGTTGATGATCTGTAGCAGCTTCTACATATCCTGCAAGTTTAATTATTGCCACATTGCAATTCTGATAAATATCAGAGAGCAATCTAATTTTTATAATAGATTCATCATCAACATCAGCATCAACATCAACATTCTTTTCTTGAAATTTAAGCTTATTTCTCTTCTAGTTCCAGCTTTTTGACTCAAAAATTGGATGTTCCTGCTAACAATTACTTTATTGTCTTGTGGAAGATAAATCCTGTAGGCTTTTAAAACTGAACTATAGCTTACAAAGATCTCAGGTTCTATTATTTTATCAAGTTTGTCTCTTAACCTGCAGAATGCAAGAGAAATAAAGACAATAAAAAGTTTTTAAAAATTCTGCAACTTTGGTTTATAGTCATACCATGCTTCAAATGGAGTTTTTGGTTATAGAGCTTTTGTTTGCAATTTGTTCAAAAAGAAAATTGTTGTATTTACATCCTCAGCCTATAAATTCTTTGTCAACCCTTTATCATGTAATAAACATCTTGTCATCTCCAGAAGTGTTTTTTTTCCTCTCAGCAACCCTATTTTGTTAAGGGGTATAGGATGCTGTCAACTAGTGCTCAATACCTTTTTTCCATAAAACTTGTTGAATTTTTTTAGGTATATTTTATTCCATTATCTTATCTGATCACCTGCATTTTGTATGTGCTTTGTTTTTCCACCCAAGTTTTGAACTTCCAGAAGATGTCAGCAACTTTAAATTTATAATTCATGAAATAAATCCAGCACATTCTTGTATGATCATCAATGATGATGTTTTCAGAGGTCCTTCAACATTAGTATGCATTAACTGTAGTTTTTGTATAGCTCTTCAGGTTTTATTTTGTGGAAAAGGAAGTCTTGTCTGTTTCCTATACTGGCAGGCTACACACAAAGAAAGTTCTTCTTTTAAATCAGGTAAACCTTTTACAAGATTGTTCTTCTTCATAAAGAGAAGAGTTGTATGATGAAAATATCCTAATCTTTTATGTCAAAGCATTATACTGCTATTTTCTTCATGTACTGGAGCATGTTCTTCTTCGTAAAATTCAAAACAAAACTTTTACTTTGCATCTGAACTTTAAACACTTTCTTGTTTTGTGTAGTAGTAATCAAGCAAAACATGTCTTCAGACAGCACCTTATATTCTTTTTCAAGCAACTAACCAACACTCAAAAGATTCTGATTAATTTCAAGAACATATAAGACATCAAAAATTAATTTTAAACCTGTGTTGCCTTTGATTGTCAATGTTTCTTTGCCCTTTACTGCTAGATATAGCCCATTTCCAATTCTTACTTTAGAAATAGCAGTTTTGTCAATCCTTTTGAAAAGTTCTTTATCATAGATCATGTGGCTGGTACAACTGCTATTTATAATCCAGCTTTTTATCGAGCTACTGGTAATAAATCATGATGCCATAAACATTTGTTCTTCTTCAAGTTGTTCAACAATAGTTTTGACTTCTCCTTACTGTTGCTAGTGTTGTTGTTATTGAAATTTGCATACCCTCCTAATATGTCCTAGCTGACCATACTTGTGATATTTCATATCCGGCTTCCACCAGTATCTGCTCCGTGGATGATTGGATTTTTTGTAATAAGGACATAATGAAAATGTTGTGTTGTTGCTACTGTTATTTCTATTTCTTTGTTGTATATTGTTACGTGATTTAGCAAAAAAAGCACCTTTCATAGAACCTGCTTGTCTCATAAGTCTTCTCTGTTCTTTGAGCCTGCAATGCATTTAATAGTTCTACCAAAGTGATGCTTAATACATCCTTTGAATTTTCTATTTATGATATTGTAACTTCAAATTTTATAGGAACTGTGACAAGAATTTTTTGAACAATTCTAGAATCAGAGAAATTAGGACCAAGAAGCCTTACTTTGTTTACAATGTCAAGAAGTCTATCAGAGTAATCCTTCATGGTTTCTGATTCATTCATTCTTTGCACCTCAAATTCTCTGATTAGATGTAGAACTTGCATGCCCTTCACTGATTCATTCCCTTCATACTTCTTTATCATGAAGTTTTTAAATTTTATTTGTTGTTTTCAGTGTCATAATTTTAATGAAGATCAAAGATGAGACAGCTGCAAATAAGCTAGCTTTTGCCTATGATTTCTTTTGCCTTCTCTAGTCATTTGCATCAATGTAAGCTTTCATTTGAATAGCCCACATTTGATAATTTGTTCCATCAAACACTGGTAGTGCCGTCAAATTCATAGAGGCTTCTGAACTCATTTTGCGTTGGTTGGTTTTTTAGAAGGATCATAAGTAGTTAAGGTAAGTGTTTAACCTCTTTCAACCTCATAGATTTGTCAAGAAAAGAATAGAATTTGGTATCAATTTGTTGGATTTTGCTATAATGAAATGCAAAGGGTAGCAATTATCATACTTATTCTGAAAACTTCATCACTTTATTGATCATAAGAGTTCTTATTTAAACAATAAAGAAAAGTTGAAATGCAAGTAATAAATAGCTCAATTTTCTACTGTTATGTAATAGAATTCAAAGGAAGATAATGACTAAATAAAGAAGATAATGTCAATCATCACAGAATTTGACAAATTCAAAATAACAAGTGTTTTATTAAATCTAAAACTAATATTAGCTTCCACATAAATAGGCTCCATATCAACAGCTTATAAGGCATTAATTCAACAATTTAAAAGATTTCTTTTGGCTAATTCAATCCATGATGCTGGGTTTTGGGAGTTGAATTTTGAAAGGTAAATTCATGATCTAGATATGGGTCACAATGAGAGAAAAACTTCATGTGGATATGTGATGAGATTCTTGCAGCTGCATCAACTGGAAAATATAGCTATTCGATTATTGTGATTTTCTAGTTTAAGAGATTATTGACCCATACTTCTCATTCAAGGTTTCTCCATCATTTCACCAGAGTGTTAATGGCAGAAGTCACCTACTACGCTTTGTTCTTGGTGAAATGCCATCTGGACTACTCATAATTTCTATCTTTAGCAAATTCTTTAATGAATAGGACCTTCCTAACTTTTATCTTGGTAGTAATTTTGATTCAAATACGTTGTAATATATACAATGCTTGCTTTAAACAAAACATGTTATGATATATACAATACGGCGTTGCTTTGTTCAAAGTTGTTCTTGAGTTAGAATTCTTGTCTTACTAGAAGGGGGTGGAATAAACATGTGTCCCTATTGAGGGTGGTGGGCATAAGGTTATCCGATACCTTGAACAAAAGTCATTTTTTCTTAATTTTTTATATCATTTTTTATATATTAATTTCTCATTTATTTTTTAATCTTGTTGACTAGGATTTGAATAATGCGTCTTAATTGTAAAAGTAAATTGATTTAAAAACTAAATTGTACATGCCATAAAATCAGAGGGACAAAAAGGTTTTCAATGAGGACTAACATATCATAAAAACAATATATAAGGACTAGAATAAATTGTAAAGAAACTTCAACAATCAAAAAGAATTTTTGTAGCAACTTGATTTAGTTAGCATGCATAAAACATAAGATAAGAATATATAATGTTTAATCAATTCAGTCCAATCCATTTTTATTTGTAATATCCAGTCCAGTATAACATATTATCTTAGCTTTTTAAACATCATCTAGTCTCTAATTAATTAATAAGAACAAAAGGGATTGGAAAACACTTTCTTGTATATAGGGTGAATTTGCTCACATAGTTGACATTGATTTTTTTTTTTATTGTTTTTGTATTTTAAAAAATTAATTTTTTTCTTTACTTCAGGTATTTTTTTTGTATTTTCATATTATTATTATGATATATTAATATTAAAAATAAGTTTTAATATATTTTTAAACAAAAAATATTTTAAAAAATTACAACTATCATACATCTAAATCAGCATGGAAGATATTGCTAACCACGAAAGAAGTAAAAACAAAAAAGATGATGATGATGAAAGTGCCTGTGTTGAGCTTTAATGTTTTTTTTATCTTTAAAAACCGAAAGAAGTAAAAACAAAAAAGATGATGAAAGTGCCTGAGCTTTAATGTTTTTTTTATTTTTAAAAACTCTGTTTATTTTTATATTTTAAAAATATTTTTAAAAATAATAATTTGTTTTTCTTCACTTCAAATTGATATTTTTATTAGTTTTTTTAAATATTTTAATGCATTCATATTAAAAATAATTTTTTAAAAATAATAAATATTATTTTAATATATTTTTAATTAAAAATATTTTAAAATAATAATTACAACTAGTCCAAAATCAATAATGGCTTGCGTTTTGTCTGTTTTCTTTTGGGACATTACGGATCATGAGATTCTATCTTCGTGGCTCCAGGGAAGTCCAACAGTCCTCTTGAAAAATAAGATGCTGGGCCCTCAAACCACTAATAAAATTAGAATCTTGATAGCTTTCAGGCCCACTTACTTGGTCGAAGCTCTGAGCTTAGTGCCAATAATTCTGAATCTCTGTAGCAATCTTACTGCTTCTTTATTCTTTCCCATGCCTTTCAATCGCAGCAATACATCTGGTTTATTCAGTCTCTTCAAACAATATCTTATATATATTTTCTTGTCCGCATCACACGTGCCAAAAAAAAAATTTCATGATACGCAAGGAGCAAATAATATTATTATATTAAGATATTTCTCTCCTGATTGTATTTTTCTATTTCTTTAAAGTATGAGTATCTATTAAAGTAGTCTAATTGTATTTTCATTTTTATTTTTGGTGGCTGCTGGGGTTTGACACCACCCGACCTCCATGAAACCTAACAGTGAATTATCGCTCGCATCTCATGCTGAACCTTTAAAGGGGGCTTGGGACCATGCTCGATGAGGTCCATGAACACATGGTTGCTAAGGATATGCTAATGTTTCAGTACATAATTATAAATTTCAAATTCTTGACTTTTAAATTATAAATTCAACCCCATCTTTTTTTTTAATGCTTTTAAATTACAAAGTAAAAGTCAAAAATCAATTTTCATAAACCATGTCAATCGGACTATAACATAAAACAATAACTTTTATTATAACATAAAACAAAGAGTAGCAAGAGAGAGTCTTTTATTATTTCATTGCCACAGGAATTTATGAATACATCACAAAAATGAATGCTCCACGCAAGCCTTTCGTTGCTGCTTCCACTAAATCTCCAATGCCGCAATAAAATGTTGGGCAAAAAAGTTATAGTGGAAGGAGCAAAAAGAAGCTCGGGAAATGGACTGCCCTCCATTAAGGCTTCAGCCACCAAAAAAAAGGAAAGAAAAGGACTTGTTCTGTCAAGAAGAAGACCCCCCCTGTTCATCTGGCTACTACCTTGTCCTGCAGATAATTCTACTTCTATAGAAAATGTACAGCTTTCAAAAGATAAAAATGCTACCACCATTTGATGTTCTGCTGCCTATGTTAGTAGCTGAACTACGTTAGTTGTCCAATGGCAAGTCGAGACAACTACTGTCCCTTGCGGAGGCCTTGGATGTTAAATATTTTTCACGATACGTTTTGGCCTTTCGAGGAGAAATGATCTCAAGAGCCCTATTGAGGCATTTGCGATATGAGAAGTCCTCAATTGTCCCATCTGTTCGAACCAGTGAAAAGCAGCGGGTATCTATCTTGATATTCAGGGTGATTTATTATAACCTGTAATGAAGGGAGGGGAAGGAAGAATCATCAAACCATAGGACAAGTTATGCACTCGTCAATCACAGTATATCATGAAAATTGCTGTAATTATATCAGCCAAAGATTGAGACAAATAACAAATTCAACAAATTAACTCATTTCTCTGAACATATTTGTCAACCCAGCTGGTAGCTGATGTTACATGCATCTGTCAATCACAAGAGAACTAATTTTAACGATGACCAATATTTCATCAGAGCAATATGGAATGCAACCCCATTTCAAGCATTTTCAGTAAATGGAAGACTATTTTTTTTATAAAAAAAACAACTATATTCACGCAACAGTCACGGAATAAGAAACTTTCAAAAAAAACATCCTAAATTTATATGCTGGGAGAGCTCTCCTGATTTTTTATATAGAAAAGACGAGTTCAAAAGGGGCAGGATATGTAGACCTCTAGAACTAAATCCACTCAAACAGTTGTATAGAGCACATAAGCCACAGAATTGTCCAATATGGTTTCTTGATGTTACAACGACTCCCTGATTGATTTCCTACTTTTCTGCCTACCAGATTTTGACTCTGAAGGTCATTTACTTCCACAATATAAGCCTACATTTGGAGGGTTTTCTTAAGCCACAATACAATCTCATGGTTATCTGTTATGATGGATAGGTGTTCAGTGTGGAATTAAGAATTTTTAATCTTCAGTTTGTCACAGACAGTGCAAACCTAGCGACTCTGGAAATTGCTATTTAACCTCCAATAATAATAATAATAATTGCTTGATAAAATTTAACCTCCATTACAACAACTCAGGGGTACTAGCTAACCCACCTTAATAAATAATCTCCTACAAAATGGTTCGGTAGTCCCTTGTTATCGTTAGCTTTGTAACAATTTGCCTTTATTTTTAAAATCTTGTCAAAGCTGCCTAAGCATAAGTTTCCAAACAAACTTTAAATGAATGTTCCACACCAGAAAAACAAGGCAGGCAGCTGCAAGAGTCATTAAGCTATTGTAGAAAAATGAACAAGAGAAGTGGAGAATAGGAGAAGTCGAACAAACAGAAGCCTTCAGTCTCAGGGGAGCTTTAAGCATCTCTCTCCTACAATCTCATGGTTAATTTCCTAACATGGAACATTAGAGGGTTTACTAGCTCCCTCATGCAAGCGTAGAAGTTGTTCTTCTTTTGTCAGAACTTAAGATTATTGTGTTTCGTGCTGCTGATCTCAACTTAAAAATTAAAAAAGATAACTATTCCTCTACTACTCAATCCTCTTTCGTTGATTGTAATTTTTCCCATAACTATGGTGCCGGCCCTGTAGGCAGGATTTGGATCTTTAGAAAGAATTCTGTTAATATCCAAATTATAGCTGCTCGTGCTCAGTATTTCATTTTTAGAATTTTCAGCACGATGGCTCTCAT